CCCGCCCCCGCCCCCCGCCCCGACTCCCTCACGGTCCTCCGCGTCGTCGGACCGAACAGCTCGGAAGGAGAATCATCCATGGCCGACGACGAGTGCGTGACGGAGTTCCGGCTCCGGTACGTGAGCGATGAATCCGTGATCTACGCGGAAACGGAGGCTTCGACGGCGGAGGACACGGTGGCGGCGCTGAGATCTCTGGTGAACGGGAGGCACGATTTGTACATTGTGGGGAAGGGGAGCGGGGTGGGATCGCCGTTGACTGCCGGTTTGACCGACTGGAGTGAGTGTCCGGAGCTGGGGCCGATCGGGGACCTGCTCGCTTCGCCGGACTTTGGGGTTCCGGTGACGTCGGTGCTGGTGGTGCAGCAGTGTTTGCCGGCGGTGATGGGGGGCTCGGAAACGGGGTTGGAGAAGACAACGATGGGCGGTTCATCGAGGGGGAGGTTTGCGATGATGACGGCGGAGAAGGCCACGTACAGGACCAGAAGCATGGCTTCACGCCGGACATGAGGAAGATGGGTAAAATAACAGTTTTTGGGGGTATTCCTATGTATTTACATATATATAATGCCTATATTTTTATTTTTTACATTTATACCATCTAAGATTTACATGATTTATATCATCGTTTTGACCTTTTTGAAAAATAAATGCGAATTTTCATGCATGGATGAGATGGTATTTATGTAATATTTGGTTTTAGGGGTTGGGTATGTGAATAGATAAAATTTGAAGTGGATGAATGTAAATGTTCTAAGATATTTTGTGGAATTTGCATTGTACAGGAATGTGTATTTGTATTAGTATGTTCTTGGTCAATTTTCGTTAAATTTTATTTTCTTTTTTATTGGTATAATTTTGGATTAGTGTAATACATATTTTCTAGCCAATCTTAATTATATATATATATATATAGTCATGATAAAGAAATTTAATGAAAAATAAAATTTATTTGATAAATGTAACAACATTAGTGATGTGTGTATCATGACACTTTCAAAGCTTCAATGCTCGATTAAATATTTCGTGCGTATAGATAAGTAGGGGTGTAAACGAATCGATCACGAACGAACAAAGCTTGTGTTCGTGTTTGGTTCGTTTAAAATTTAGTTTGTTTGAAATAAGCTCGTGTTCGTTTCTTAACGAACGAGCCGAACACGAACCGAACACGACTTATATTATATAAATATACAATATCTATATTAGTATATTACTACTATAGTATATTAATATATTATTATTATTATTTTATTATATATTATAATTTATAAAATTTAATGTTTTAGAATATAATAAATTTTTTATATATAATTATTTTATATTATTTTATATTTCAAACAATAACGATTCGAACACGAACGAACGCATCACTGTTCGTGTTTGGTTCGTTTAACTAACCGAACGAAAAAAATTTGTTCGCGTTTATCTCGTTTACCTATCGAACGAATCGAACACAAACTCATTGACGAACCGAACACAAACTGTTCGCGAACAACGAGCTTTTTTGACAGCCCTATAGATAAGTGTAGATAAATACAAATTTATTTATATTATAATGATATTATTGTGGTGAATGACATCACGTATAACCACAATACCACCAATCCTCACATACAATGACACGCATAATATTCTGTCCCAATGTTCACACTTTACAAGCATTATTTCTTAACAAAAAGATTTTATGTTATTTCTGACCGGCAATTTTAGCGAAACTTTTGGATGAAAAAGCTAAAATGAACAGAAGATATATGATATATGACGTGTTGAATCTTTTTAGAATGTCGGGTCATGGACTCTCCATGTGTTCACATAACACGTAGAAAACTATGCAAGGAGGGGATATGTGCTCGAAAACTGAACAATATGTTATTCATGAAAAAGGCTTTAAAAATTCCCCTCCACCTTGCATCTCTCTCTTATCTATTTATACATGTTAAGAAAATATTAAAAGATGAGTCATAGTGTCTAAAATATGTTCACGATGTCTTGATGATAAGATTGGGATATAGATGTCATACGACTCAAAAATGAGGTTGTGACATATGCCAGTTCTTGATGTTGGTATTGACTTTTTCATTTTTTTTAAATACCAAGGATTATCAATAAGGCTTGTGATGAATCTAATTGATCAGTTTGTTAGGGCAATTCGATTGCTTGAAAAATCTGATAAGTTGATTTACTTAGGGTCGGCTCGACAATTGAAGCAAGAAAGTTCACATTGGTGAGTGTAATCAGCGGGCCACCTTAGGAGATCATTTCAGTGATGGTTGTATCTTATCACTAAATGAACTTATCACGCCATTGAGGCCTATTTGACATGTGTTTTGTCCCACAAAATATGATTTTTACTATACAATATGCTCGTGTGAGTTATCTTAGAAGAACATTCAAATCATGATTGTATCTCTTGTGTAGATGGGCTTATCGGACCCATGAGGTCCACAAGACTCGTGTTTTGGCCACCAAAAACTAATTTTTGGTATACAATATGCTTGCATGAGTTATCCTCACTTGATACAATAGCCCATAAAAAAAAAAATTTCACTTGATAATAACTTAATTATATATTTATATATACTATAGTTTTTATGAAACTTTTAAATAATGGTTGTAGTTATAAATAACTCACATTTGACTTATAAATTTTAATCTTTGTTTTCCACACTTATGGTTCTTTAGACTTCTTATCAAAATAAAGATTCAATAAAAATATGCTTTACATAGACTTCTTATCAAAATAAAGATTCAATAAAAATATGCTTTACATCTATCATATAGGATGAATCTTTTGAGAAGAAATTATCTCATAAAATTGATCATCTTCATTTCAAATTCAATTTTATGATAATGTTAATTGTTATTTTAATAGTTTTATTTTTTCACTTTTGCTCTTTGTGTTACCCAATGTTTAGTAAGATATCAGTTTGTATTGTAATATTTGAACTTATGGCTTTTTGGGATATTGAATCTATTATTTTTTTTTCATGTATGAGTTACTCAAATTAGATCGGTTCTGTTATAAACATCACAACAATACATGAACAGACAAGTCTTTTTATCATAAATAGCTTTAGCACAACTGTAAAAGACAAAAAACACATGGCTTCTCCGCATCAGCTTCTGCGCAGTAGTTTTTTAATAAGGTCAGTTGCCCCAAACAAACCTCTAAATTAATCTGAAGCTACAAATTAATTGTTTGAGTACTAGGCTTCGGTTGCTTAGCTTTAGCTTTCTTTTAGAGATGAAGTGAAAGAAGGTACAAATCTTCAATGTTTGCATATTTTAAATAATTTACTAAAAAAATTATATTGATTTTAGATTATTTCTGACATGCAACTTTGGCGAAAGTTTTGGTTAAAAAGTTCAAATAAACAGAAAATAGATGATATATAATGTGTTGAATCTTTTAGAATATGGAGTATTGTATAATCCGCAGGTTCACATAGCCCAAAAAAACCTATGCAAGGAGGGCAAAGAAGATAACGATGTGAGCTCCGAAACTGAACTACATGTTCCTCTTGAAAAGTCCTCTATTTATACATTTTAAGAAAATATTAAAATTTGAGTCGTAGTGTCTAAAATATTTCCACGATGTCTCCATGATAAGATTGTGACGTAGATGTCAGATGGTTCATAAATGAGGATGTGTCATATATTAATCCTTTATATCAATCTTGACATTTTTCATTTTGTCAATTCTGAAGATCACTACTGTGGTGAACTAAGCGGATGAATTTGATTGATCAATTCGCTAGATTAATTTGACAGCCAAGCTAATCATATTAGCCAATTTACTTGATTAGTCAGCTAGGTTAATCTAACAAGTCAGCTCGACAGTCATTATAGGACAATCGTCACAACGGCGATGAGATCGACAGGCCACCTTAACATATCTTTCTGATGATGGTTATATCTTATCACTAGATGAGCCTATCAGGCCTCCTATTCTTACGAGTAGACAGGTTTATCATGCCCACAAGGCCTGCCCACGAGGCCTGCTAGACGTGTTTTCACCCACAATATCTAATTTTTGGTAAAAAAATATGCTTGTATGAGTTATTCTCACTCGATTCAATCAACCTTAAGAAAATCTTTCACTTGATAATACTTAGTTGTATATTTTTATATTCTATAGTTTATAAGTAACTTTTAAATAATATTTGTATTTATAAATAAACAACCTTGTTGACTCTTTATAAATAACTTTAAAAATGAAGATTTACATTAAGTGTCAATATAATCTCCTCTATTTTAATCTAGAGTTTATAAAAATATTAAAGTAATCTCAAATACTATTTAAATATAGATTGAAATAGTTTATATGAAAGATTATTAGAGCTCAATTTTAAAATAATCATAAATTATTTTAATACTTTTATAGACATTTAGACTAAAAAGATAATATAAATAATGAGAGACTATTTTGACATCCTACTCAATTTAAATTAATCAACATATATGCCAAATGAGGTCACTTGTTTTTGACATAAATGAGATTGGTTACATTAAGACCAGTCCTTATAAGTACTTGATTGCCAGACTTCCACTTCTTTCTTATGAATCTCAGTATTTTATGGATTTCAGTTCCTACAGAGGAAATACAAACATGAAAGGAGACTAAAACTTAATTGAGTAAGAAGAAAGAGATCTAAGCTAGTTCTTCTGCTGCTCTCTCTCTCTTTCTCTCTAGTTTCTTCTTCTGTGTTGATATCTGTAATTCCCTATTCAGCTGTACTGATCTACTTCTAATGGCATTCACAGCCGTATGATTCATTGGAGAAGCCTCTGATTGATTTCATCAATTTTCTTCTGCTTCCTCCATCACTCTCAATCATGGCTTTTCACTAAAATGCTATAAAAATTAAAACTTTAAGAGAAACAAAGAAAGACGACTGTTGGACATTCTGCAACTTGCTAACTATTCTCTTTTCCTAACTGTTCCATTTTCTTTTTTCCCCTGCGAGAGATTTAGAAAAATATTTATGAGGTTGGATATCAGAAACAATGGCATGGAAAGGTTTTTGAATGATTTCTGATGTGAAAAAAAAGTGAAAAAATTCTCACTTTTATAGCTTCCATGCGTTACAGACCAACTGCTCCGGGGCCGGAGGAGAACCTGAAGCGAGAAAACATCCAAAGATGAGATTTTTAATCTTCGGTAAGAACATATTTTCACAGATTTTAAACTCTCATGAAACATATTTTCTTTTTTTGCCAACCTGGGCATCTGAAAGAAGCAAGATTTGAAGGAAGCCATGGTTTCCAATGCAGAATTTGCAGGCAGTAAAGTGGAGGTAAACAGAGAAGAGGACGAAGAAGAAGAAGCAGTCGAACCACCGGCGTCGGCCTCAGAGACCAAAGAAGAGTAATCGCCTCCGTCGCCGGCGGCAGCCAACTTGGTCGGCGACGCAAACGGACTGTCTGGGAGATTGTGCTCCGCCCTGTTAAAAAACCTCATTAGCCTTCCAAAAAGGAAAAAAAAAAGCTCAAACTTTAGAGCATTTAGTGCTGCAAAAAGAAGAAAAACAAAACGGGTGGATGGAAAAGGAACCATTCATTTAATCAAATAATCAACTAATCTTACAAAAGGAACCACCTTTCTTGGAAATCTCCATCTTTTTTGGGACTCGTCTCCTCCATGTCTGCAAGAGCATCTACAACCCCAAGCACCGAACTTTTATCTATTTACAGTAAAAACAGAATCCACATTAACTTCTCCGTTTCAGTCTCATTAATTACTTCCACCACAGAGCAAAACAACAACAACTAATCACCACCTTCTTCCAAAGTGGTTTTAATCGGAAATGATGAAGAGTTCATATCGATCCGCTTCAGATCGAGAAGCTGGAGACCCATGAACCGCCTTTGCTGAAGCTCAATAGCTTGCTGCAGCTCTCTCTGTTCTTCAAGCTTTCTGCGCAGAAGAATATCCTGGTTGTTGCTCGAATAAAGCATTCTTGATCCTGAAATCAAACTCAAAAATTAATACGATAAACTTGAAAAACGTAGAGAGAGAGAGAGAGAGAGAGAGAGAGATTATGGCCTTATAAGTTATAACTCACCTAGCTGCTGAAAGTCAAATGGGTCTCTGGAATCCAGCCCAGTAGGAGTTGTACAACCAGAGAAATCTCCTCTATCACCCGGCTGCTTCCTAATCAATGAGAAAAGACGAGAACTTTGATAAGTAAAAAAAAAAAAAAAAAAAAAAAAAAATTTGCTTTAATGAGAGGAGCAAGTGAGACTGAGTGCCTGTTTTTGTCTGGAACTTTCCCCTTCTCTTTATAAGGTTTGACAAGAACTCGAGCATCGCAGACGAAGTGAGGATTACCCTTTGCAAGGATTAGCTTCACAGTCTCAGGGTAAAGAAAGGTGACGAACCCAAACATTCTCTTTTGCTGGTAGGGAATCCTCACATCCTGCACTGGTCCATAGATGCTGCAAAATCGAAACCAGGATGAGATTTTCATAACATTAACATGATAAAGATTTGATTTTTATGTCAAAAGAACCAACCTGAAGTAGTTGGAAACATCTTCCTCTCTGAAAGTGCTGTCCGCCGGAAAGGTTAAGTAAATCTGTCTTGAAACAGGGCTTGCCAGGCATGAAAAATCATTCCTTTCTACCTTCGGCCGGCCGATGAACTTATGTAGATCTTCTCCTCCCAGCATCAGAGCGGCGGGGGCCGCCACACCCCTATCAAAAATTTGGTTAAAACGTCAACGTTAACATCTAGAAGAAGAAGGGGAGCATGATTAGTTCAGGAAAAAGGTGTCACCTTTGACTATCGCTCCTCTGCTGTTGAAGCAGAAAGTTCATATTCATGCATTTCGGCGACGGCGGTAAAGGTCCGGTCGGCGAGTAAGGGAAACCGATCGAAGCAGAGGACATGAACCGCATGCTCTTCGATCGTTCGAGGGCGGCGGTGGCGGCGGCCACCGCCGCCGCCTAGCACCGTTCTTGCAGTATCCCCTCGCGAAGTAGAGACAAGGCTTCCATGGGTCGCCGGCGAAGCAGCGGTGAGCCCACCCAATGTCTTCGCCGGCTTGAAGCTGCAGTTGGTCGATGAGCTCGTCGCCGGCGGAGGGCGGCGACCATGAGGAAGGGGAAGGGATGGCGAGCGGCTGCGAGCGAGCGAGGAGTCCGAGGTCTCTCTGTGCCTTGAAAACCAGGGACTGGAGAAGGGATTCAGGACCGAAAGCAAGGCGAATCATCTCCTTCTCGCCGTGATCTTGGATTAGGAGAAGCCCCATGATCTTTGCGGCGTTCTCCGGATCCAAGTTCTGTATTCTGGAAAAAACGATTTTGGTTGCTTCATATGCATCCATGCCCGGAGGAGTTGCCAAAGTTCGCGCCTTTTTTGCTCTTCTTAGTGAAAAAAACAGAAGAAAAGAGTTGCTTAGTTTGCTTAAACAGCTGCGGCCATCCTATGATCTGCTTTCTGAAAGTAGATGTACAGTGCACCTTCTTTATTCGTTCGCATAGCTTCTTACTCCCTATTCTCTTTGTGGTGCGTGTCGCCGGAGAAGAAGAGAGTGGGAGGAGAGTGAAGCAAGATCTGGATCTCTTCAAATAGGTCACGTTTCCCTCTCTACACCTGAAACCTCGCCTCTTTACTTCTCTCTCCTCTCCCCCTGGAGTCAATGCCGCGCTTTTGCGCCCGCCCTCTTTCTCTCTCTATCTACAGTGCTAAATTCCTATTAGCTCAACATGATTAAAGCCAGAAGAGCTGCGTCGCCTTTACAGCCACTGCGTGGAGATGTCTCTGTTGTTCAAAATTATGACAGAGATTGCTGTAGCTTTTTATGTAGCCATCCTGTTTTACTAGTGATGCTAGTACAATGCCCGCTAAAAAGATTTCATTTTTTTAACATTTTTTCATATTGCATTGCCGGTCTTAATAAGAAGCGGTTATTGCGTGCGAAGAACGATCTAGAATTTCGTACGCTCTCTGCATGCAATAATTAGACCTAAATAAATAGGAGGTATTTCTTATTTATGAAAATTTTAGTGTAGCTTCTATAAGATGGGATTTGCATAATTGCATTCATGCTTTAAAATTTTGGAACATTTAGGTACATGATAGCTAATTCCTTTGCACATATATCTAAGGGCTAGATTTTACCTTTTTACATTTATATCCCTCAAAATTTTCATATCATATATAAAAGATCAAATTTTTAATATCATGTAAATAATATCACTACTTCAACTTTTACAAGATGAAATACATGAGAATTGAAGTTTTAAGTAATAGATATGTAAATGCCTTAGATTGATTGATATGTATGCAAGTCTTTCAAAATTTATTTGTAATTATTGAGAAAAGTGAAAAAATAGTACGTGAGTAGTTATATGGGGTTGGTTTAATCGCATAGTTTTAGAAATATCAAAATAATCTCTATGCTCTGTAAACTAGGGTAGAAATAATCTTATGGAGGCCTATTAGAGCTTAATTTTGAAATAAACAGAGATTATCTTGACATTTCTATAAAGTCTGGGACTAAAACTGTCTCATAGAAATTTTCATGGATTATTCTGACACTTTATCATATAATATATATTTAACATTTAAATGTTTTTATTTATTTTATAATTTTTTTTTTAATTATTGACCTTCTATATTAAAATATTTTTATAAGCTATATTTTTAGTGTTAGTCTTAATAGAAACTATTTTTTTTTCTCAATTTAATGCTCAAGGCAAAAGTTGAAAGACAATTATAGGCTCTTTACCTCTTTAAAGATCAACTTACATTTTAATTATATATTTAGCCCACAAAGCATTCTCCTACATGCATGATGTACCTATCAAGAATTAATCAACCATACATTCTCAAAAAATTAACTTTTTTGCATGAAGCAAATGGAGCATGTCATAAGAACAATAACTTAGTTAGGTTGGTAAATTTAAAAGCTTACCTAAATTAAGAATGATAAATGATGACTACTCACTAAGTTTAACTATATAAATCAATGAACATACACATCTAATTCAAATTCTACTTGAGAAAGTATATGTGCATCTCTATATATTCATGACATATATTAGGAAATTATTTAAGGTAGTAACTAAATAACTTATTTAAAAAGATATTATAAAATTAATTAAAGTAATATCTTAAGCATGAATAACATCTTCACTAAAATTATGTTTAAAAATATTTTTAAAAAATGATTTGATTGAGTGAATAAACCAAAAATGATGGAACATGATTAATTTAAATTATACATAGTACCCCATTATGCTAGGTCAAATTGAGAAAAATAATAAACCTAAAGACCATGTTTTATAAACAATATATCTTGTTCAAGCAAAGGAATGTCAATTATTTGTCTTGGCAAAAAATGCTACACAAACCATATTATTGAGAATGTAGGATGCTCCATTTATTTTGGTTCTTGGGACCATGTCTGAGTCCCCACTCCAATGGTTGGTTCTTTTATGGGGCACATAATTTATATATTTGAATTGGGTATCACCTTAGTCCCATCATGTTGGAGTGTGTTCATTATTATAAAAAATTCGTAGAAATTGTTGTCCCTGGGGGTAACAAATTTGAGCTATAAATCTTCATTGAATTATTTTTTTTATAAATCTAATCAATAGAGCATCAATTAGTCACATCAATGTTAAGATTTAAAAGGCGAAATAATTGGTTGTGAAATATTTAGTTGCCTCATTTAAGATACTAGCTTTAATTGCTATTAAAACATGATAAAACACAACTTTAGTGTTATGTATCATTTAATTAGAATGTCAGGCCCTTATGGCCTCTCTTTATAAAAACGCACCATGGATTTGAATATTCATTACAAAAATTTCTAAAAATTAGTAACTAATTATCTTGACAAACCATGAGTCTTGAAAATCAAGAGATGCGATTGGTAATACTTATTACTTTAACATTATAGGAGCTTACAAATATAACATATATCCTCTTGATTATAAGAAAAAATAGAGATGGCTCTTATGATTTTGCTCTAATGGTGAGATATCCTAGGTCATATTAGTGGATTAATTTTATTCCAATAATATATAATGGATATATTAATGCTAATTTAAGGTTTTGAACTTATATCTTCTAATGGTTGAGAGGTCACACAAGCAATATATGACAACTAAAGTATCAAGGAGTCTTCAGACCTAGGTTTTGCTGTTATGGTATTGTCGGCACTATTTTTGGTGTGGGGTTTGCCCGTAAGAAGCTGTCGGTCATCGGAATTGAAATCCCGTTGCCCGCTTCGGAAGGACGTTTTTAAAAAAAAATTAGTTTTGAAAAAGATGAAGTCAAACTGACCCCATAATTTTCATAGTTTAGATGAAAAAGCGCTTTACCTCAAATCCTATATCTATCCCGAAGGATGAACACAAAAATTGAGGGCAAGGTTCGATCAAATAAATTAAAGAAAGTTATGACATCCATTTGGTCTGCGAAACCAATGTATTGGCCGACAAATTCTCCTATTTAATATAAGAAATTAAATAGGGTTTATATTATGCTGGGTTCGGGAAAAGCTTCCTATAAGGTCAAGCCCCTGTAGTTAATTACATCATAGATAACTGAAGTTACCTA